TAATATTTTCTCCTTTAAACATAAGCTCTCGTGACTTTGTTTTGGGCTTTCCTAAAATGGCTCGTAGCAATGGAGATGGTATTCCTTTATTATAAACCCATGATCGTTCCCTAAATTAGCCGATGAAGGACTTTCATCATCCAATTGACATAAATAATTTTTAAAAATTCATTTAAGATCGGTGGTTCGGTTATTTTTTTTTTTTTTTTTACCAAATGTTAACAATTTTTATAACATGAATTTTTTTTGGATACTTACTCGGTGTCATGCCTAAAAAATCACACGACGTGCATAAATACTGTGTTTAACTCCTATATCGAAGATTCGAGTATTGTACATGTTATTTGTTCAGTCCTTTATAAGACCTAATGAGCGGATATATAGGAATCTAAATATGCTGAATCGTTCTTGTTACAATATTCTATATTCTAGGTCTTCTCGTTCTTTTATCGAGCTCTGTTTCTCGATTATTCTATCTGTGTCTGAAAAAGAGCGGTTGAAAAAAAAAATAATAAGTTCACGTTGGGAGAAGAAATAATGAATGGTTGGAATTAATATTTAATTTTCCAAAATATTTCCAACCAATCAAACATACTATAAATGAACAAATTTATGATTTAAAAAAAAAAAAAGGAGCGTGAGAGTCACGCGCTGAAAGATGAGGTTGGAGTAGAAGAGTTGCCATGCAAAACGTGAACCTTTGGTTGAAATACGTGGCACGGAAAAAGACGCTTTAAATTGATTTTAAAATTTCAACCATCCATTGTTCGACACGTGGCAGTCTCGTTTGTCTTTCTTTACCTCTCCTTAAAACGGCACCGTTTCGAGCGCCCACCCATTTTTATTTAATTTTTTTTCAAACTTAAAAAAATCTCATTTTGGTATTATAAAATAAATTAACATGTTAAATAGAATATTAAAACTTCGTTTAAGCACTAATTTTACAGAAATATTTTTTAAATTTTAATTAAAAAAATTTAAATATTTTGTCACAAATAAAATAAATAATCATGATAAAACAAATATAATTTTAAAAAATGAATAGAAAAAAAAAATCAAATAATAATAAAACAAATTGGAATATATTAATTTTATAATTTAGTTAGGAAAACAAATTAGAATATATGGATTCTCTTTATTTTTATCCTTTCTTTTCCATCTTTATATCATTACTCTATCTCGTTTTTCAAAAAACGTGATTATTTATAAAGTTTCGTATATAAGAAAATTAAAAAGCAGAGAATAATACTTTTCTTTAACAAAGATGACGTAGAATCCGATTCCTAATCGATGTGGATTCTCACAATTCATACAATAGTACGGAAACCTTTCCCCAACAGAAGCATTTTAAAATTGTGAAATTGCCGACAATACTTAACGTGACAAATCAAACAATATCTGACAAATTTGAGTTGTTATAAATAGTATCAAAGTCAAACATGAGGGCAGTGTGTCATCAAGGGCACTCGACCCCGAAATGGTGGATTGTGAGAACTCATATCGATTAGAGAGGGGAATGAAGGTCAGAGTGTGGAAACTTGTGAGGCCGACGACGATATGTAGTGGGTCAAATCAGATATTATATGTTAGCGATAGGATCCTTATAAATGGTCTCTATTGTAGAAATATTCCCTTAGTGGCGGTAAATTTAAAAAAATTTATCATTATCTAGAGCTTCCCGACCCAAGGTTTCTCTGCTCCCACCTATCGGTTCACTAGGGGTTTACAAGGATATGGGATTCTTACGTCCCAATCCTACCGCTCTGAAGAAAGCAGAGATAGGTGCAATCGCATTCGATCGAGAGTCTGATACCCTTTTTCAAATAAGAAGAATATCTAGAGAGCGAGACAAGAGCCTAATGCTTTGAGCTTTCAGGCAGACCTATCTTGGTCCAATCCCGAGCAGTTCACTAACCTATCACTATAAGTTAGAGAATTTTAGACCTTGTGACCTCTATGGCATTCCTGACACCTGTTCTCGTATTCGTATTATTAAAAAAAATTTAAAAATTAGGAGTATTTCTTTTAGGGCAATTTTATTTATTTATTTATGATAATAATTTCTTTACAATAAAACCTCACAAAATTTTGGTAGGTGAAATGACACGTAGCACAATAGTTCAAGCGAGTAGAAACTTTGTCTACTCGCGCGAGTACCATTTATCCTTTTGGCTATTTCAATTACTCTTTTGTCATTAAACAAGCGTGTAAGAATCGGATGCTAAAATAAGGCCACAGGCTTTTTCACCATCTCATTATCTCGCTTATCATATCGTGATACGTGATTTTATCATATCGTCAATATATCGCGAGAAAAACAGCCATGTGTCTATTCCGCATGACACTTATATTTTAAACGGTTCTAATCAGACCATTTCGTATTTATCTAGAATGACGGGAGAGTGTGATTCTCTACAATCGTGTCTATTTTAACATGGTGAGACTTACCTAATCAATTAAAATAATGAATTATTTATCTACTAAATTAATCAAAATAATCTAATATTTTATTCCGTTCAACAATGTCGAAAGATTAAATCATGACGTTTTAGTCGAAGATAAATGTTTTAATTATAACTTATGAACATTAGATATCATAGTAGTTAAGTTAATAATGGGCGATCGACCTGTGTATTTATTTTATTTTATTTTTTTAATAATTAAAAGAAAAAAGAGGCAGTTTACTTAAAATTTTACCTCCAAATAAAAGCTTTATTGATCTCAAAGAAATTCAAAATTTTAATTTATTATTGAACGGTTATATTATAAGATTTTCAAATAAAAAATGTAAAAAAAATAATAAAATAAGAAAAGGGTTTAATTTAAAAAAACTAAAAATTATTAAACTAATTATAAAATTTACTTAGAGATTTAAAATTAAAAAAAAAATAATAATAAGATCTAGAAAATAGAAAGGATTGAAATTAAAATTCAAATTTTAAGGAATATATATAAAAAAAAAAAGCCATTAAATAATATTTTTTGTTTCTATTTATTAATAGTAAAAATGACATTTATTATTATTATTATTATTATCATTTTTTAATGACTATAAAATTACAAATGAGGTAAAAAAAAAGTGAATCTTTGTCAGGGTGGGTCCCAATAAATATTAATTAATTAATATTAATAATTTATAAATTTATAAATTTCTTTTAATAATTTGAAAAGAATGATTCTTATTTTAGTCATAAAAAATATAAAATTCTAAATAGGACCCAAATCCAGATTCATAATTAATTACACTTTTTGTTGAATACAACTAATTAATTAAATTATGGTAATTAGTAGATACAATTAATTATTTCCAAATATAATTTTTTTGAATAAGTGATAATTAATAGATTAAAAAAAATTGGGAATAAATTAGCACTTTATCATTTAAAAAAAAAAAAAATCCTTTTCAAGAAGTTTCTAGGATGTTTCCACGTGTCATTATTCGTCTATTCTTTTTTAATACTGTTTTTTCTTTTATTAATAATGAAAAATCCTTAATATATTTTAATCAATCAAATGTCATAATAATATTAATATATTCAATTTCAAATGTCAACAACTTAATAGTATAATCTATTAGATAAGATTGTCAAAAATAATAAAATAAAATAAAGATAAGAGAAAGAGATAATTTAATAAATTTTTTATTTTTTTAATTTATTTCTTATTTTAGTGTTTAAATCATACTTTAATTTTAAAAATATTTGTGTCATCGTCGAACTTCCAACATATGTTATGTTCATATATATATATATATATATATATATATATATTTTTAAATTTTAAAATAAGTTAAATTACAAATTTAGTTTATAAATAAAAAAAATTTAATCCACAAAATTTCAAAATTACAAATTTTGTCTATTAATTTTTTTTAAATTCTCGATTCTATTAAAAAATTTAAGTTTTGCAGGACTTCTTAAATATTTTTAAAAATGTAAGGACCAAATAGACATAAATCTCGAAGTTTAGAGATTAAATCTCTAATTTAAACTTTAAAATATATGTTATAATTTATAAAAATCATGCAACCACACGCGTAGTTCTATGAGCATTAGTAGTAGTGACTCGAACAACTTTAAATCTTCATTTTTTATTTTCCAACTCTACTCGGGTCTATATGACTAGATAACTTGAACAATTTTGGATCTTCGTTTTCTATTTTTCAACTCTACTTGTGTTCATATGACTAGATAACTCGAACAACTTGAGTTACTATGATGTCCCACATTGGTTGGGGAGAGAACAAAACACCTTTATAAGGGTGTGGAAACCTTCCCCTAACAAACGAGTTTTAAAGCCTCGAGAGGAAGCCCGAAAGGGAAAGTCCAAAGAGAACAATATCTGCTAGCAGTGGATCTAGGCCGTTACAAATGGTATCAGAGTCAGACACCGGATTATGTACTAACGAAGAGGCTGTTCCCCAAAGGGGGTAGACACGAGACAGTGTACCTGTGAGGACGCTGGGCCCCAAAGAGGGGTGGATTTGATGGGGTCCCACATCGATTAGAGAAAGGAAAGAGTGTTAGCGAGGACGCTACCAGACACCAGACTATGTGCCAGCGAGGAGGCTGTTCTCCAAAGGGGGTAGACACGAGATAGTGTACCAGTAAGGATGTTGGGCTCCAAAGCAGGATGAATTTGACGGGTCCCACATCGATTAGAGAAAGGAAAGAGTGCCAACGAAGACGTTGGTCGAGGAGGAGAAAAAATCGATTTGGTTTGGCTCCATGGTTCACAATCAAATACCTAGACAAAAAAATTATTCTATAGGAGCGCACGTGTGAGTGGACATGATACATTTAAGGCCAATCAAATGTATTGACCCAATGAAGAGAGCCCCAAGACCCACTCTTGTGATTTTTAATTCTTTTAATTTTATTTCTTTTTAAAGTATAAATTATTTCATAAGAATTACCCATTTAATTTCTTATCATATATGGGATCTTATAAATGGCAACTTTATAAATTATATTTCACATAATCTATTATATCTTCTTCCTTTCAAATATTTTTTATATTATATGCTTTTTCTATTTACTTTAATTTTTTTTTTTATAAACAATCCTCAACTGCTACTACTAGATCTCACGTCATTCGTAAATGATGTTAATAATGTTATATCTATACAATCAGGAACGTATTTCCAAGATGAAATGATAAATTTCATCGTAAACTCCTATAAACATAAAGAACTAAAACGTGTCCCGTAATTCGGATGCAAAGATTGTAGCATTGACATCATAATTACCTTTATTGTCGGAGTTAGGAAGTTGATTAAGACTTTTGATCCTCGCTATATAAACATAATATAATATAAATAGAGAAAAAAAAAGATTTGCTTAGATAATAAGCAAAGTGGGTGGGGTTTGTGACTTTCATGACATGTTTTGTCCCTTTTCATTTATTTAAAATAATCAACTTACTCTTAATTTAGTGCATAATCCTTGAGGTTAAAAAAGGAAAAAATAAAAATAAAAACAAAGTGATGGAAAAGGACACTTTGAAAAGTCCATCTTGGATTATATCATTCACACATACAAGGTTCTTTCTTTCTTTCTATTCTTTCTACTTTTCCCCTTTTTTTTTCGTTTGATTTTGTGCCATCCATATAAGAAGAAGATAAAGACTATGGAACGAGAGAACCTAGGGTGTTCCTTGAGGAGTCGAGGTATTGGATAATGAATTCCTTGCCTTGTCCTGAAATGAGAGGGAAGGTCGATTTGACTAGAGTCTTGTACCGTTTGAAAGAGAGTAAAACGACCTGAAAGTCCAAGAGCTAATCGAGAATCACCTACTTGATTGATAGACATAACTTTTTAAAGCTGTATTTTCTACCTGAAGTTGTGCATATGGAATGAGGATGGAGTTTCTATTTGCAAAGAAAGAAAATAGTTAGATGTGGGATCTCACCCCCCTTTGGGACCGGCGTCCTCGCTGACACTCGTTCCTCTCTTCAATCGATGTGGGATCTCACAATCCACCCTCCCTTCGAGACCCAACATCCTCGCTGGCACTCGTTTTAGTGTACCCAAAGAGGACAATATCTACTAGCAGTGGGCTTGAACTGTTACAAATGGTACAGAACCAATCACAGGACGATGCAAAGTACTAGTTGAAGTATAGGGCTAGACCTTTTCTAAAACCTTGAGAAAAAGTCTAAAGAGAACTAGCTTGAACGGTTACAAATTCAATCAAACTTAAACTACTAGTCACTATGACTATACGTCGGTACGATTATGATGCATAGAGATGGAAGGTATAGTCAATAATATAGCATAAAGAGAGCAAACTGTGTGCCTTTCAAAGAGTTCAAATATTCCCAAGAAAAGAAAAAGAAAAAGAAACAGCAAACAGCAAACAGAAACAAAATGAGGAATCAGAGGGGGGGCTGGTTTGAAGGGTTTGATTTGAGAATGATTGCAATTTTTGGGTTCCAACTTTAACAGAGAGGGAATCTCAGCTTATAAAAAGAAAGATGGGTATGTGATTGTGGAATTAGTGGGAAAAAGTGGAAGGGAATCACAGCCTCTAAGAGGCCCAAATGTGTCAAATCCTTTCATTTCTATGCTTTGGAATTTGTGCTCTTGTTTCTTTTTGTTGGTGTTCAGTTCTAGGAACAGGAAAAAAACTTCATTTTTACCCCGCTGGTAATTTTCTATGGACTCTCTTAATGTTTGGGTGTTTTCTAAAAGGTTTCAATGAAGTTCTCAAGTAAATTAACAAAACTAGTCCAATACTTTAAAAGGTCGTACGTTTTATCTAAATATATACCTTTTTAATCCATATTCTAATGTTTTGTTATACAAGAATAAAATGAAAGTTTTTTCTTTCTTATTTATTTTTGCTAACTCGAACATACCTAAACAAACAAAGATACATCTTTGACGACGACAAAAAAAAAAAAAAAAAAAAACAGAGGAATGTTCATTATTAAGTATAATTTAAAAATAATAAAAATGATAATATTCAAACATATGGAATAACAAATACAATAATAAAAAATAACTCAATACATACTTAGAAATCATATCAATTTAAACTCTAAATTTTAAAACTATATTAATTTACAACCGGTTATAATTTCATTAATTAAACTCTTTAACTTGTAATTTTGAAGACACTGTCAACTTTTTCAACTTAGAACCAACACATAAATGCAATTTACAATGGTAGCTTTATTTTTATTTTTATTTTTATTTTTTAGATTGTATTATAATTATAGAAATTCTTCAATAATTGGTAGTTAAAAAAAATTAAAATTTCTTAGCTTACGCTCAACAAATGATCTTGTGATAACAAGGTTATTTATACTAGTTAAGTTACATGTTCTCGATCATCTCGATCAAGAGAGTTTTGTATCTTTCACCAAAAAATTAAAAGTTAAAATACTCCTCACTGTCCATGGTTTTAAACCTAAAATAAATAAATAACTAAATATACAAACAAATAAAAAAATAAAAGCAAATGCAACTAAAAAACCTTGGCTCAGATTTAAGAACGTATTAAAGTTAAAAAAGAAAGGTCATTCTATTTTATCTTTATACTTTCAATTTAGTAACTATACTATCAATATATATATATATGTAAAATAACATTTTAACAAAAAAAAAAGAAAAAAAAAAAAGGAAAGCAAAAAAGACAATAATGTTACTGAGCTTAATTTCTAAAATTAGAAAACTAAAAACATAGTTAAACAGAGAAGCCCCAAGAAAACATAGTTATTAAGGTTAATTGTTTTTTTTTTTGTTTTTTTGCAATCTAAATTATGGAATCCATGAAGGAGGTTCCGTCCAAGGCATGATGTAATCCTATCCCAACAAACACTATTTCTTTGATTTAGAGAACTGTTGGGCAGAGGGAGGTACAAAACATGGTGGGAAAGGAAAAGAATGGGTAGCTATCTCATAGCAGAAAAGGAAAAAACTAAGAGTTATAATTGAGCAATATTTGAACATAGTGGCAGCAGAACACCCAATTCACATTTATAATTTGATAGGTTTGATGACATATTCGACATTTTTTAAATGAATCGATTGTTTGTATACAAATTTGTACGTTTAAGTTTTTATTATGTACAATTTAATTTTATGTCTAATAGATCGGTTGGTTTTAAAGAATATTGATTATGTTAGGAACCTTACATAACAAGATTGAAAGTTTAGGGTATTAAATGGTTTTTAAAGTTATGTAATAATCTCTTCTTTGGACTTTCTCTTCAAGGTTTTTAAAATGCGTCTGCTATGGAGAAATTTCCACACTCTTATAGAGAATACTTTGTCTCACCTCTCCAATCGATGCGGGATCTCACAGTTTACTCCCCTTCGAGGTCCAGCATCCTTGCTAGCACTCGTTCCCCTCTCCAGTCGATGTGGGATCTCATAATCCACCCCTCTTTAGGACCCAGCGTCCTTGCTGGCACACCGCCTAATGTCTGGCTCTGATACGATTTGTAACAGCTTAAACCCACCGCTAGCCGATATTGTCCTCTTTGGACTTTCCCTTTCGGGCGTCCCTTCAAGGTTTTTAAAATGCGTCGGCTAAGGAGAGGTTTCCAGACTCTTATAAAAAATGCTTCATTCCCCTCCCCATCCGACATGTGATCTCAATTAGAGATTTATACAATAGTTTTTACAGTTAAAAGGACTCCATTCTGCCATTGTTTTCATTATTTGACTCGTAAACTGCAGCTCACACCAAATTTTAACGTATAAAATTAAAATTACCATAAAATGTTGAATATTTGTTTTTTACGAAGAGAAGAAGAAACAAGAACAATCACAAAAACCAAACCCGACCCTCTTATGATATGCCTACTCAGTTCAGAAACAAGAGTTTGTAGGGAGTGTGCGTGTACCTGATGGAGAAGCAGGCAGGCAGATGCAAAAGGGAAAAAATCATAGTGATGAGGGAAGAACAGTAGCTGAATGGATATGGAATCTTTACGAGCGCCTGCAAGTAGAAAAATGGATATAGAATGGCAGAAAAATGTGAGCAATCATATCAATCTCTTCTGTCTCAGTAACAATGCCAATGAACACTTCAATTATTTTTCTTTTCAAATTTGTACCTCAAAAAGATGACCCAATTGGCTGGTTGCTTCTCTAGAAAAAGCTGCATTGTTTTTCTTTGAGTGGCTCCTCACGAAAGCTTGTTAAATACTTAAGCTTCCTCCAGATAGTAGGTAGTACCTTCCTTCACATGACCCACAATAAAAATGAAAGGGTTCGAAAGTTTCATTGTCGTCATTGTTATTGTGAGATCCCATATCAGTTGGAGAGGAAAACGAAACATTCTTTATAAGGGTGTGGAAACTTCTCACTAGCTAGCAGACATGTTTTTAAAATCTTGAGGGGAAGCCTGAAAGGGAAAGTCCAAAGAAGATAATATCTGATAGCGGTGGGCTTGGGCAATTAGAGCCAGACATGGGCGATGTGTCAGTGAAGAGGTTGAGCCCTGAAAGGGGGTGGACACGAGGCGGTGTGCCAACAGGACACTGGGCCCTGAAGGAGGTGGATTGGCGGGAGGGTCCCACGTTGATTGGAGAAGGGAATGAGAGACCCTAAAGGGGGTGGATTGTGAGATCCCATATCCGTTGGAGAGAAGAACGAAACATTCTTTATAAGGGTGTGGAAACCTCTCCCTAGCAGACGCGTTTTAAAACCTTGAGGGGAAAGCCGAAAGGAAAAACTCAAAGAAGACTATATCTACTAGTTGTGGGTTTGAGTTCTTAGTGTCTTTTTTGAAACTATGTAAGAATTATTATTTTAGCGACTAGGCTCAATAATAATATACGAATAAGGGAGAGAGAAATACCTGTCTTGATTGAGAAGCAGGCAGATATGCTTTTAGCAAACCAGGGCCCTCACGTCAATCCACCAGCTCAAATAACGTAATGATGATGCATCCATGACCCAACAATGCAACATCCTGCGAGTAATATGTGACAGTGCTGGGTGCCCATTTTGCTGTCATATATATAGAAATCTAATAATATGAGTTATCATTACAACCTGTAAGTGTATTGTCACCAACCTGAAAGAGGAAAAAAGAGTGATGGAGGAAAGTAAAGCGATGAAGCAACAGGCAAAGAAAAATTTATGGAAACCAGAAGAAGATTTGATCCTCAGAAACTATGTGGAAACTCATGGTGAAGGGAATTGGGCAACTGTCTCCCAGGAATCAGGTAAAAGAAAAATTACCTCAAAACTATCTATTATCGATCTACGCACAGACATTTCTATGTCGGCTCTTATTCATCTTTCACATAACTCTAACACAGACAGTGAGACAAAGATATCCGGTTTTTTTTTTCATTTATGTGGTGCATGTGTGTATGTGTTCCTAACCTGGTCTCTCAGGTTTGATGCGAGGTGGGAAAAGCTGCAGACTAAGATGGAAGAATTACCTCCGTCCCAATATAAAGCGCGGGGGCATGTCCAAAGAGGAAGAGGACCTAATTATCCGTATGCATAAACTTTTAGGCAACAGGTCGGTTTGTATCGAATTAATCTCCGAAGCTTAATCAATACTTAATAGTAAAAAGAGTAAACTGACTGAATGTTTGGATATTTTGATGGTTAAACTTCTTCGATCAGATGGTCACTGATTGCTGGTCGGCTTCCTGGTCGAACTGATAATGAGGTTAAGAACTACTGGAATACCCATTTGAACAAGAATGGCCTGCAAGATAAAAGAAAAGTTAATGAATCAAGCAGCTGCAAGAAAAAGGATGAGGACGACGGGAATAATAAGAAGCAGAAGAAAGTTATCAACCAGACTAGCTATCCTCAACCGCAAATGTGCAGTGACAATTGGGCAAATCAGGCACATGATATACAGAGAAGGAACCAGGAAGAGAACAGAGAAGTTACAGATCTTTGGAATATGGATGACATAACAAGTTCTCATTATAATATAAACTGTCCAATGGTACCTGCAAATAACGCGACTTTTAACTTCGACGATGAGCCTCACTTTAACCACCTTGATCCCTTCTTCCTGATTGAAGCATTTGGATGCAGTAGTGTTGATGCATCACTGGAGAACATGTGACTTGTAATTCTTTAGGTTTTGAGAAACCCCATGTTCAGGTAGGCTTTTATTGTCAAAATCCTTATTCTTTTTCACCCAGTAAGATGGCAAATTGTGCCATTGGACTACCAGTGCTTGTTAATCAAGAAGAAATGGAATGAATATCACTACAAGACTTCATCTTGTTGAACGTAATATGTCCCATCATCCAGTGGTAATGAGGATGGGGTACCAGGAGGGATGTTAGCAGCAACATTCTCCCCTGCACACGCACAATAAAGCTTCTGCATCCCTGATGGCAGCGTCAAGGTCAATGTGACCATTCAACTCATTGATAAACTTCAAGAGCGTGTCGAAGTCCATCTGCTCCTCCATTATTTTGTTACGGTAGCGCTTCAAGATCGTAACACAAATGTATAGATGCAGGTGCTCAGACAGATAATGAGTCCACAACACCTCCCATAGATGCATAACCTTTCCGTATTCGAATTCTCTGTACGTGAATGAAGAACAAATCAGCAAGGTAATTAATAGAAAGAACACATGAGAAACTAATTCACTATAAAAAATGTGCTTTGGCATAAAACGACATACATGACGATTAAAGTGATAGTAAACATCAGCATATAGGAGAACTCAAAAGAAATTTCAGATGTATAAAATTGGCCTACCATACAAAGCGGTGGCACAAAGTTGGGGTGGCTTGGCCCTTCTATAGGAGGGAAGCCAGCTAAATTACAAGTAGAGAGCTACCCCTAATTACTAATTGTAAATGCTAATTCTCAAATAACTAACAACATAGTAACCCCACAATAAACAAGTAACCTAAGGTGTGTATACAAAAGGATATAGTTGCAGCATGCATTCTGCATCAATCGACTCTTCTTAACCTAAACAGCTTACCATTTCAATAGCCAGCAGGAACCCATCAGGAGCATGATATTCAGTTAAATTTGATACATTGAATGTCTTTGAGATGCAATGTTCATTGGTAGTTTAATCAAGTAAGAATTAGGCCTCAACCCTTTCCATTCTATGAATTGCCTATAGAATGTTTCCAACCGATGGATACATTCAGGTACTTTTAACTAAGGTCTAGAGATCAATCTCTTATTACAAGTGCCATTCTGCTCTTCGGGCAAATATTGTCAAATTCCTCAAATGAAGATATAGAGAATAGGGAAGATACCGAAGTACTAGTAGGACAATCTTCTAACCAAATTATTCTGTTAGGAATCACGGATCTCCATAATGGTATGATATTGTCCACTTTGAGCATAAGCTCTCATGACTTTGCTTTGGTCTTCCCCAAAAGGCCTCACTCCAATGAAGATAGTATTTCTTGATTATAAACCCACGATCATTCCCTAAATTAGCCGATGTGGACTTTCATCCAACATATTCAATCACAACTATTACCTTCCCCTATAGCCATGTAAATGATAACTATGGCTATTATGAGTTTCTGAGATGTCAAATTTCCTAGGGCATCTGACTAGTAAACCTACACATCCATCTCAATAACATCACATATGATTTGTTGTTTTCCAGATGGTGATAATCTGTTGCTGGAGTATGGCGACGGATAGACCTCATTTCAGTGATTGACACTGCTCTAATGGCGTACAGATTTCTATCTACATTTAAGAAATGCACAGACAAGAAATTCATAGAAAGAAGAGAATGGAAACTACCTCTCACCGATAATTTCGCATTTGAGTTTTGTCCTTCGTAAGGAATCCAGGTCTACAATCAAAAACAAGAAACATCTCCAGTGATGCAAGAATATCAAAATACAGATTTCTCATTCCAAATAAACAAGAAATCCTGATTAATGGTGCTTACAATGAACAGAGACGATTCTCGCTTGATCAACCTCAATCTTCCACGAATCCTTTCAGACGCAAACTACGTAGGCTGAATCGTTACATTTTCTTTCGAATAAACAATCTCTGCACCTTCCGGTTGCCTCGATGAGCTTCCTCGACCGCTATCGGTGCGCATCATGCCTGCAGAACTCTAAACAAAATGAAAAACAGAAATAAGATGATTTGGAAGATTTTCTAGTATAATGAGTACTTCATCTTCGGTTGCGCATGGTTTCTCCGCCGTTTCCCGCGCACACTATCTCACTCTCCTACACAACCCTCGCAGTTGCAATGTGGTTAACATCTTAATATCGTTGTAATGAACAAAAAAATTATAGTTCTACAATTTTTGAACATCTGTTCCCACTCATACTTTTCTTATTTCAATCCTAAGATGATACTTAGTGGCCGAATGAACTTATCGTGATCGCGTTCGGTAGTTGATGGATCGAATCTTCTTGTTCTTACATCATCGCCATTAGTTCTTCTATTTTCAATCAACTTTCTCGTTCGATTCGATGGTTCAATTCTTCACTTAGAAGATAGTAATGGAGAGGACAATTTTGGTCAAACATTCTGATTTGAGTAGGAAATGGGAAGAACAAAACATGTTTGCCATGAGTGGAGCATGCACATGCTCTCTCATAATAACTATTATGACATTGATTTTGGACCGTGTTGAACTAAATAAAAGTAAATTATATACGAAAGTAAGACTGTTCTTGATCTAAAATGAATCGAAATGAAAGCAAAAAAGAAAAATGTTATCAGAATTGAAGTTTCGAGTTTATTATCTCTCTAAATTGGAGCTGAACTTTTTGGATAAGGTTTAGGGTACGAGAGAATGTATAATAGCTCAAACCCACTGTTAATAGATATTGTCAGCTTTGATCCATTGTTAGCCTCACGGTTTAAAAATGTGTCTGTTAGGGAGAGGTTTCCACATCTTTATAAGAAATGTTTTGTTCCCTTCTCCAACAATGTGAGATCTCACATTTCACCTCGGAGGGGTAGTGTCCTTGATCACTGGCTTTGATTCCATTTAACATCGGCTACGTATCGCCACAAGACTCACGATTTTAAAACGCGTCTGTTAGGGAGAGGTTTCCACGTGCTTGTAAGAAATGCTCTATTCCCCTCTCCAATCGATGTGAGATTTCACATTTCACCCCCCGAGGGCAGTGTCCTTGTAGACTGGCTCCGATTCCATTTAACATATGTACGTATCGCCACAAAACTCACGATTTTAAAACGCGTCTATTAGGGAGAGGTTTTCGCGTAATTATAAGAAATACTCTATTCCTCTCTTCAATCGATGTGGGATCTCACATTTCACCCCCTGGGAGGCAGTGTCATTATTGACGGGATCTGATTCCATTTAACATATGTACGTATCGCCACAAGACTCACGATTTTAAAACGCGTCTGTTAGGGAGAAGTTTCCACGTGCTTGTAAGAAATGCTCTATTTCTCTCTCCAATCGATGTGGGATCTCACATTTCACCCCCTGGGAGACCGTGTCCTTGTTGACTGGCTCTGATTCCATTTAACATCTGTACGTATCACCACAAGACTCACGATTTTAAAACGCGTTTGCTAGGGAGAGGTTTCCACATTTTTATAAGAAATATTTCGTTCCCCTCTTCAGCGAACGTGAGATCTCACATTTCACCTCCGGGAGGCAGTGTCCTTGCATGCCTGGCTCTAATTCCATTTAACATCTGTTACGTATTGCCACAACACTCATGATTTTAAAACGCGTCTGTTAGGAAGAGATTTCCACGTGTTTGTAAGAAACGCTCTATTTTCCTCTCCAACTGATGTGGGATCTCACAGAATGTGTCTCGATCGTGGCGTGCAAAAGTTATCGACTCAAATCATGAAAAGGGTATTTTTGTAATTCTCTAGGAAAAAAAATAAAAGGGAAATGGAATGATAGGGCAAACCCTAGGACAATGTCTCCTTAGTGCATGGCCAAAGGTTGGCCTTGTCTTTATAGCATGGGCCTTCATCTCCATACCCTTTCATTTCTTTTTTCTTTCTTTACCATGAAGTTGTCTTCTTCAAGGGCAACATTTCAATCTTTTTACAAGGCTACAATATAGGGGACAACCCAAAACACGATAAACCAGACGTGGTCGGTTCGGTCAACTTTCATCACCAGAACTTTTCAAAATATTGATCGGAACTCAGTTTTTCGAGCTAGGGTTTCACATTGTTCGGTCATTAATTCAATGCTACATAGTTTTTCCTTCTTAATTTCTTCTCTAATACTATTTCTTGTATATATTGAATGAGTCTAGCTTGAGTTCTCGACTGATCCAGCTTAGGTATGATATATTTGGACCCTTTTCAACCCTTCATGTGATATCTCATATCTTTATAAGTGTGTGAAAATCTTTCCTTAGACGCGTTTTAAAGCCTTGAGGGAAGCCCAAAAGAGAAAGGCCTAAAGATGATATTATCGGTTAGTGGTGGGCTTAGGCTTGGGCTTGAGTTGTTACATCTCGTGAGACATTTTTATACTATTAGAAGCATTTTAAGGTCAGAATGACTACTTTTAGCTAAGAATCAAGCCGTGAGGAATCTTCAAACTCGAGTTACAAGCAATTGGCTTGGGTTGTTACTGTTCATGAGACATTTTTATACTATTGGAAGCATTTTAAGGTCAGTATGACTACTTTTTAGCTAAGAATCAAGCCGTGAGGAATCTTCAAACTCGAGTTACAAGCAATTCGTTCGATTCAACTTAATAAATTATAAACTTTTAAGTTAGCCAATCGATTTTCGTTGTTCTAGTCGTTTTACGTTCATTTTGATATCCAATTTGATCAATTTTTCATTGATTTTCCTAATTACACACCGTTCCGAATAAGAATAAAAAACTTTAAAATTTGGGCGATTCTAAGAACGTGATAACGATTTTGTTTAAAGAATATAATAAAAAAGAATGCACCAATTAAATAACACTATTTAGTATATAGTTTAGTGGAAAATAAAAACTTTGCAAAAAAATTCAAAAGTGTGACAAAATTAAAACCATACTTTATATGATTATTTTTATACCTAATTATTGGATATAATATAAAGTTAAATTTGTGACCCATTTCATTTATATTTGTCGGTAAATTTGAAGGAAAAAAATGTTCCAAAGAGATGAGCTCTTTAAATCATTGCAATAAAAACACATTAAATGATGGGCTCTAAGCTCTTTTTCTTTTTCTTTTTTTCAATTATTAATTTAAATATATGTCGAAAAATTTTCAAAATTTTTATTAGGTTCATTTTTTTCGCTAAATTCACGGGCTAGTTCAGTTCTATTCAAAATGAAGTTTGATTAAGGCACACGATTGATGATGGAATAAATTCTTCCAAACCCAGAAATTTAAACGGAATTCTAACTTTAGAGTCGTTTAAAAAAACGTGCATAATGAGTTTCGTTTGAACTAAAAAACCCTATTGAGTAAGGATCGGGGATGAATAAATTGAAGAATAGTATTCTTAAATGTCGTGCAAAATTAGGTTTGATTAATGCACGAGATAGAAGATTGAATAAATCCTTCCAAACTCAGAAATTTGAACAAAAATCTAACTTTGGAGTCGTTTTTTTAAAAAACGTGCATAATTGGGATCGTACTAAATATATGTTTATATAAGTGTAAGAAATTGAACTAAAAAACCCTATTGAGTAAGGGTCGGGAACGACAACACCTCAACACGCTGTACCAACGTCATCTGTAACCCTAATTTAACTGAAACATAAAACCGAACATATCGAAGTTGTATTATATATATATATATATATAAAGTGCATAAATGAGGGAATGAAAAGAGATGGTGGGGAGGCAAAGGGGTCCCAAAGCCTGCAAGCTTGAGAACCAAAAAGAAACTCTACTTTGTGTGTCTCATTTCCCCTCTCTTTTTGGGTACTTATAAAGCTAAGGGAATTAAGAACGAGAGTGATTAAGAGCGACATTGGTTCAGTTCGATTTGAAGATTGAGCGAGCGTTATTTTGTAAGGAAATTAAGAAGGAAGTTAAAGATTCATAGAGAGTGATTACGAGCGATGTTGGTGCAGTTCAATCTGAAGTCCGAGTTTTGTTTTATTTGAAAATTCTGCCTCGGATTGAGCCGCGCCAATATCACTTCGTTCTTTTGGTTCGAGTCTTTTCTTTGTTTTGGTTTGTAGGGTTTTTATCGTTTGATCTTTTTTCAATCGTGCGTGCACGTTTCAATATACGTAAGTTTGCATCATTTTTAGGTTAAAATGTTCTACCTCTCCCCCTAACTAAACTCTCGTGAAGATTTCTATATTGTTTTTTTTAGTTTAACAAGTGGAGTGGTAGATTCAAACCTCTAACCTATTAATCGAAAAAAAATATTTTAATCCGTTTAGGAGTTATGATTATATTCAGAGAAGATTTTAAAAAATATTTTGAACTTGTATGGAACAAGTAAAAACAAAAAAGTACTTTTTAGACTCGTGGTATAGTCGTTTCCATTAAATAACATTCTCTTTTGGTCGTTAATTTATAATGATTTAACAATTTAATTATCTGAATAAAAAGACGACATTTAATTTTGATGATCTTTTTACAATAAAGACTATTGTTATCAATTTTAAAGTTAATAGACTAAATTGTTACGTTCATGAGAGTTTAGAAGCAAGAAGTGATTTTTAACAAATTTTGTTTCTCTATGTTGTGTGGCCGATCCTGACGTTGCAGAGAGAAGCGTGGCTTTCAAAATATTTCTATATAAATGCAGGTTGTGATCTCTGTTGATGGCATTGGCAAAATATATGGCTTCATAAAACAAGACTTGCACGATGTCATTGTGGTACATTTCAATCATGCGGCGTCATGATCTTGACACGCTCATGACAAATCTTAAGAAGAATCCAAACCCGTATGCATTTTCCCATAGATTGTGACACAAGGCACTTGAGGAGAGTAAAACCATTTGAAGGGTTGACATCCTGGCAGATAATTCTGTATGGTTGAATACACGAGAGAAAAATAAAATTTTTATTTTAACTAAGCATAGATAGAGATGTCCACGTGGGGTTGGAGTCGAGGACGGGAATGGGAAATGTAGTCTCCATCTCCAGTCCCGTTTAGCTAACAGAGAAACCTCTTTTCACTCCTTCCTCCGTTCCCTATTTAAATAAGAATTTTTCACCTCGCTAGTTAAACGAACATCTTATTCGAATAACTGAAATCTCCAAGTTCTAGTAAGAACTATATCAAAATTCAACTTTATTTTTCTTATATCTATCAATATCCAAGTAGACGGTCAACTCGAGCTCACCTTACCTATTCTCACTAAACAATCATCCACCGGCTACATTTGATTGTTATAGTACCTCATAGGATATTAAATTCTAAGTAAACGATACCATGACTTGAACTTATTCTCTCGAATGTTAAATACGAAAAGTAACAACGCAATGGATAATATCAGAAATTGCAGATGCTAGCCAGCAATATAAACGTACACAACAATCACAAACACAATGGCCAATAATTCCAAACTCAGAGCAACTGACATTCTTGAGGTACCACAAGGCTGCAAATGACGATCTTAAG